ATTCAAACGTTTTTTTTTTTTTTTTTTGCCACTGATTTAATTGTCCACTTAGTCACTGTACTTCTGCAGTGCCTCGTACAGGGTGTGAGCTTGGGGCTCATTGTTACTATGCTGTAACTATTTGCTGTATAATAAAAGTTCCAATCTCCATGTACACACACGCAGCCTCCATGCAAAAACTGTCTGGTAGGAAAAGTCAGTTGCTTTTGTAGCAGTCTTGTGGATCCTTTTCAGGTTTTCTATTAGTGGAGTATAGAAATGTATTGGCATATTTTTCTGTGCATTCTATTCGACTCGGAGACGTTTGAACCATGATTGGTTAGCAAAAAATCATTTGATTTCACTCATTTGGTGGTGAAGTATTTTTCTTGCTTTCTTCTTTATTCTGCAAAAACAGCCTGCAACACATGAAAGCATTTTTGTCTTTCAGGGTATGTCACAATTTTCTTCTATACAACCTTTTTAGGCAGATCCTCTGGAATATCTTGTGCTACTTGTTTCTAATGACTTGGTGATTCGTTCACTGAATTGTTCAGAAACTTTGGAATCTTTACCTGATCCATGTTAATGTTCTGTAAATGTCTGAACAAGAAATGAACATGTTCACATTTGTGCACGTCGCATAATATATTCATAGTTTTAATAAGGTTTTCATTTTGTATAAAATAAGTAGAAAAAACAAAGTTTGTATTAAATATTGATTTTTCTGGCCATATTACTTATCTTCTTGTTATCACAATGTTTCAACATCTGTCAGCTGCAAACTTACTCAGATGTCTGTTACATACAGCAACTTTCCGAGAATGTCAAATGGAAGCCTTACCTGATCCATGGATATTGTTGCTCTCATTCCTTTTAAGTAGTTTGCAGAATTCATGACATTCTCATGTTATTTGGCTTCTCAGATTGGCAGTACTTAATATAGAGATTGAACTCACCACATCTCAGGAAAGAGATAAACTTTAAGAACACTTTTACCACATGTCAAATTTTCAGAGTGATATTCAGAGATGTTGTTTAAAACAAAACAAAGATAAAAGTGGTTGTTCTGATGATAAACAATTGAAATATATTCAATAAAAACACTATTTTCTTTTTAAATTGTACACATGTTGAACTTAGAAAAGCAGAAAAAAAAATTATTCAATAAGAGATTCAAGAAACTGACTACTTTCAAGACGACAGGGTTGACGATTGCTGAGAGGAGCACAGTGTAACTTTTCATTTCCTGTGTTTGATTGGAAATTGTCATGTTAATGTTCATGTTCTCTAAATGTCTGAAAAAGAAATGAACATGTTCACATCTGGCATACGTCGCATAATAATACCGTAGGTTGTCTTCCATATATATAATAAATAATAAACAAAATAAATAGACAAAACACAAATTTCAAAACTACCGTGCAACAAAACATAGTTAACACTAGTAATTTATGCAACTGTAGAAATAAAAATAGATGCCCATTAGATAAAGCTTGTAAAACTGAAGCAATAATCTATAAAGCAAAAGTAACAAATATTAATGGCCAGAATAAAACGTACAAAGGATGTACTGAAGGTTCTTTCAAACATAGATGGTAGTCATAGGTTGTCATTCAAGCTAGTAAGTCTTATGTGCTCTACCAAACTAGCTAACCATGTGTGAAATTTAAAAAAACAAAAAAACAGCAGGGATCTGATTGTAAGCTGGAAAATTTTGAAAAAAAGCAAAGCCTTATAATAACCACAATAATATCAGCAACCTCTGCCAACAGGAACAATTAGCAATAATATTTTCATATCCCAAGAAACTTTTGAACAATAAAACCGAAGTCATGAGTCCTTGCATACATACTAAAAAATTCCTCTTAAGCATATATGAGGATGGATAAAAAAAAAATAGTACATTTCAATTACCACCCCCCACCGATCATTTTATAATATCCTTGCTTTATTCTCCTCCCCCTTCTTCTTTCTTTGCATCCTCCTCCACCTCCCTTTCTGTCACACCCAACATTGTCTGTTTGATTGTTTATTTTTTTTAAATAATATTATAATCATTAGTTTTTTGTTTTTTTTAAATAAAGCATTTGGAGGTCAATTGATAAAAATCACCTGAGGATACTGTAAGGTTGAAACCAAAGTAGCGGATTCAGCTGATCTCCTGATTTTTAAAGTTAAAAGCTCTACATATTTTTTACTCCCCGTTGATACATTTACAATACATTTGCTTTTCTTCTCTTCCCCCTTTGTCTTCTCCTTCCTTCTTTAGATCCTCCTCCTTCCTTTCTATTACACCCAACACCGTGCATGTGTTTATTTATTTTTGAAAATAATAATCTAGCGTTCTTTAGTTTTTTTAAAACTAAAAAGGCATTAAGTGGTCATTTGATAAAAATCGCCTGAGGATACCAGAATGTTGAAACCAAATGTAGCGGATTCAACTGACCTCCTGATTTTCAAAGTTAAAAGCTCTACATGTTATTTTTATTTTATTTTTTTTCACACATGTATTGAGCACTTTTTAGTACCACTGTTTCCTGGTCTGATTCAACTGTTATCTTTTATGTATTATATATATATATATATATATATATATATTCTAATTCCAACAATCTAAAGATGCCAGAATTTAGTCAAATACATCTTGCTTACCATACCAATCACCCTCAATTCTTGATGCTGTGTATATAACAAATATAACAAGAAATTAATGTGTTCAAATTTTCAGTAAACTTTAAAAAAAAAAAAATTATTTCACTGTTACTGACAGGGTTGGCCTTAACTCTACCATTTTCTGTCCTTATTTATATAAAATATCAATTATTGGAACTGCAGCAAAGATAAAGGCATAAATCTAAGATTCATCTTAGAACTTTAGAGAAATGTTGGCTGATTGTCTTGTTAATGCCTTTAGTACCAATAATTTTTTTTTCACTGGCATGCACAGGCCCAAAATAGAGCACAATGTGGATGTCCCTCGGAGACTAAATATAGTATTTTGCTAAAAAGCAGATATTAGTGACACCAGAATAACAAGACAATTTCAAAAAGGGGGACATTATATAATTATCATTATTTGTCATTTTATAGGTAAAGTGGGAATAATATATTTGGCACTAAATTCATTAAAAATTCATTCCACTGAACATTTCTAGAGATTAATATCTTTTGGTCTAAATATCCAATTTCCATTCAATCAGTTACAGATATATATGTTTATGAATGTATGAAATTGGTTCTTTTCATTTCTTTTTGCTTTATCAGAACTTACAAAGAAGGCACTCTATACAGTAGATAAAACTATTCTTTTTTTCCTTCCAAAATTTTACTTAACCATTTGGGATATTTGGGTTTGCTGTCCTCTGATTTTTATAACTATTATCATTCTCCTACTGTCCTGGGTATGACGATAAACTACATCCGTATCCTGAGTAAGACGATAAACTATGTCCAACAGCAAGGCCTCTGATACAGGAGGTTTTGAGGAGCATGGAATCACCTCTTAATTGCTGGTGTTCCCAGGTCCACCCTGGTCCAGGGTGGTAGTACCCATTAGGGTCCCAGCTATGGGTAAATAGTTAACCCCCAAACTGGGATTAAAACACTATGAAGGTGAAAAAATAGGTTTTAATACCAGAAATACTTTGTAAAAAATTATTACCAGCAATAAATTTTTGTAGAAAAAAACCATTACCAGCAATATACTTTTTATTACCAGAAATAGATTTTTGACAAAAAACAAAAATATTACCAGCAAAATAAAGCATTAAATAACCCATTGACAAAAACAAAATAAACCAAACCAATCTAAACCAAAGAATACATATTCTAATATGAATCTATCCTAAAAAATGTTGTTGGCATTAAATAACCCATTGAGGTTGATATGTCGTAAAAAAAAAATAGACCAAACCAATCTAAACCAACGAATACATATTCTATTCATATGAATCTATCCTAAAAATGTTGTTGGCATTAAATAACCCATTGAGGTTGATATGCTGTAAAAAAAAGATAAACCAAACCGACCTAAACTAAAGAATACATATTCTATTCATACGAATCTATCCTAAAAATGTTGTCGGCATTAAACAACCCATTGAGGTTGATATGCCGTAAAACAAAATAAACCAATCTAAACCAAAGAATACATATTCTATTCATACGAATCTATCCTAAAAATGTTGTCGGCATTAAATAACCCATTGATGTTGATATACCATAAAACAAACCAAAACCTTTACCATTACACATTCTAATGTTTACAGAAATGAGTAATATTTCTATTTTATAGCCTGATGGTGAAAAAGCAGCTAATGAAAAATGCTTATTTATCAACATAATCTGTCTTTGTAAATGCACTTAGTCATAAGAATATACTTACTTATTAAGATCACTTTCAGTTCAACTCAGATGAGATGATGGAGTTGTATGAGAGTAGATCAATAAATTTGTAGCTTGACAGTTATTTTGATTAGAAATGTTTAATGTTCAGTATATATAATTAATAGAGAAGTTTTCGTTTAAGTGCACTCAACATTTCTGTCAAAATTAGTTAAATTCTTGTCTTTCCTGTTTAAATTGAACTTTATTCCACAAAATTGGTCGTTTCTTTTTCTTTTTTTTTTTTTTACTTCCGTTTTTTTTTTTTTTTTTTTTTTAAATGACAGTCCATTATTGAATAAACAGAATAGACGATGTTCCAATTTACTGGCAAATTTCTTGTCTTGAACAGGTAAAATAATGGAAAGTAATGTTTTCACCAAAGGAATTATTTTTTTCAACACAGATTTCTTCTTTTGATTAATACTGAACAATAAATGCCAAAAAAAACTTGACAATTTTCAAAATGTTACTTTATAGCTGATGTTTTCATTTTATTGCTAAACTAATAAGAAATTAAGTTTCCAACTTAAAGGGAACATTTTGTTTTTAATATAAATGTTTCTATCTTGTTGCATTCAATTTCAAAGGAATAAATATTCATTAACTTTGTTTTATTTTTAAATTATTTTCAGCTTTGCTTTATTTGACAAACTCTGCTGTTGATTTAATGCATACAATTCTGTGTGGCTGTCTGGTGCTTCCTGTATTGCATTTGATGTTGGCCCCCCAAGTGAGTTCTTCTGTACAGCACTCACTACAAATGGCCACTACTTCTCTCATTGAAGCATTGGAAAAGTTACATGTTAACCATTCTAAAGACTCTGAGGAAGGAAAAAACCAAAGTTCTACAAAAGAAACAGTAATTGTATTTCTCTCTTTTATTCACTTACAATGTCCACTTGATAACACATTCATTATTAATCATGTAATCAGATTATATGGTGTGATGGTCAACAAGGTAGTCTTCCAGACCAATTTTTTCCTTGTGTTGTGAGTTCAATTCTTAGTCATACCAAAATAAACCAGGTTTCATAAATGACTTAATCTATAAGTGTAATATTTGTCAAACATGATAGGATTATTTATGTGTTCACAAATTATACATATACAGTCTGCCAAAAATGTATACACATTTCAGGAAAGGAAAAACTTGTATAGATATTGTAATACTAAATTTATTCAGAGATTATGAGATTAATACAAGTTACCTTTGGATTCTACAATCACAAGAGATGGTCAAAATGGTGGCGTTTAGTTTCCAGACATTTATTATTCTCAAATTTGAAGTAACACTTTAAAGTAATCTTGCATTCCTCAAATGACAAATGTATATCTGCTATGTTGTAGACATCATTTGTAGATACTACAGCCATTAGGGTAATTCCATCTGTCAAGAAAAATTCAGACTACAATAAACAGTGTGATTGCAATTTCATTAAACTACATTTTTCCTTTCCTGAAGTGTTTATACATTTTTTTTGGTTTATATTTTAATTTGAATGTATTTATTGTAATAAATCTTTACAGATGCCATTTTACCTTGACTCTTATAATCTTGTATCTGAAATTTTAAGTTAATCCAATTTAAGTTTATTCTAAATTTTGAAAATGTTTTATGCTTTGTCCATTTTATAAATAAATGTTTGAATTTGAACAGAAATTTTCTGGGGAATTTCAAGTTATTAATCTTTAAGTTTATACAAAAAAAAATCTTACATTGTTGATTTCAATCCTACTAGGAATATATATCCACTAACCACCCCATGTGATCAAATGTAGCACAAGGCCGAGTTTTATTGTGGGGTATCGAAGCCCGTAGGCTTGACCAAAAATTCCCTGTGGACCCTGTAAAAAATGGGGTTGGGTATCTGTCTTCCAAGACGAGACTCTCCCCTTTGACATAGCCTCATTTGGGGATCCTCTCTGCCCAGAGACAGAGAGTTTAACCAGCACACTTGGTAGGAATTCTGAGGAATGACTGCAAAACATTTTCCCCTCCCCTTTTATAGGCAGAAGTCCACAAATGCATGCTGGGATATTTTTCTTAGTCAATAAAATAGGTCAGCTTACAGTTTGAGTTGACTCAATCCAGATCTGCCTTGTCTATAAAACAGACCACTGCATTCGCTTACATAGCTTGCAAACTTTAACTTGCTTTTATATATATTGTTTGCTTGTTTGATATTATTTCATTCTTGCCCCATTTTTTTTTCTTTTTATTGCAAACTTTGTTAATTCTGTTTGTTGGACTATTCTATTATTTCTTTTGGCATTTGACCATCGCTACTAATTCATCACACATACTAAAATGTATTAAAAATTCAAAGAATGTTAAATTCAGTTTTCATTGTTATAAATAAACTTAATGCATTATAATTATTTTTAAAAAATAAATATAAGTTTTATTTCAAAGGTAATTATACTCAAATATTTAATGCTGGCGTGTTGGTATGTCATATTGCTTAATTCTTTCCATCAGGTAAGAGAGTCAAATAAATCTTAGCTTTATCATGACAAAGTGACATTTGCTTTTAGAGAAGTTATTTTTTTACTAATACACATTGAATTTTCCACTGAAGGCCATTTTACTCTTCTAAAATCACATCCATCCCAATTTCACTATTTCTGTGCTTAAATGTTCTTGGGGAGTTTCTCTGCCTTAGAGACAATCTCAGATAATCACTGGATTTAATTTGTCTCAAATATAATATTAACCTTAATTTCTACTTCACCAGTTAGAAATCTCTTTGCTATTCTCATGAAGTTAGCATCAATATGTACAAGGGTGGGTTGAAAAGTTCATCAGCTGATTCTGAAGGATTGACACTAGAGCTGCAAAATCCTGCATGCGTTCATTTCAAGTCTTCTTATTACCAACTGCATTGTTTCTTTCCAAGTAAGCTAATATCTGATTGTTCCCCCCCCGCAAAAAAAATCTTCAGAAGTAACTAGTAGCAACTTTTCTTGAAAATGGACAAAATTTGGCATTGTGGTATTATCAAGTACCTGCAGAAAAAAGTTTAGCCTCCTCCACCCCCTAAGGACATTTGTGCTGACATGGTTTGTATATTAGGGGATGACACTCTGGCTTTATCAACAGTGCAAAAGTGGCAGATGAATTTAAAAGCGAAGGAAAGAGTCTTGAAGATGACCCAAGGTCTAGACATCCTGCAACTGCAACCACTGAAGGGAAACCTTGACCATGTTCAGTAGATAACAGATGATTGTCTATAAATCAAATAGCCAATGCTTTTGGCATATCCTGTGAGAGAGTTGAGAATATTCTGCACAGTGTGCTTGGCAGGAAGAAAGTTTCTGTTTGGTGGATTCCACATCTTCTGACACCTGATCAAAAGGGTATAAGCTGATAACATCATGAGAAAATCTGATATTGTTTGAGGGAGATCCAGCTGGTTTCCTTGAACATTTTCTAACCCAAGAAATTATCCATGCAGTAGAGATACCCCTCCTCATATTCTCTAAAGAAGGCCAGGGTTGTTTAATCTACAGGGAAGGTGATGGATTCACTTTTTTTGGAATGCAAATGTCACTGCATTTATTGCCTATCTTCAAAAGACCCACACCATCAATGAAGAGTAATATGCCAGCTTGCCAAGGCAGTTCCGAAAGGCTATCAAGGCTCAGAAAAACTGATGTAAGAGGTCTTGTTCTATCAAGACAATGATCCATCACACAGGTCCTTGGTTCCAATGGCTTCTATGCATGACTTGGGCTTTGAACTGGTTGATCAGCCTCCCTATTCTCTTCATGTGACTATCATCTGTTTCCCAACATGAAAAACAGTTGGCTGGGAACCAGTATTGCAGTGATGATGATGTCATGACTGCTGCTGATGACTTATTTCTTGACCAACAAAATGAATAGTCTTCTTTGAAAAGTCAGATGTCAGTTTACCTGGAAAGAAACAATTTAGTTCTTTTTTATAAGAAGAGTTGAAATTAATGCACACAAGATTTCACAGCTGTAGCGTCACTCTTTTATAGTCAACCAATGAAATTTTCAGCTCAACCACTTAATTCTAAATTCTACACATTTATATTTCATAAAGTTATTTTGATAGATTTTATACATTCAAGCAAGTATTTAATAATCATATAATCATTTTCTCTCTTTTTTATATATATATATATATATATATATATATATATATATATATAAAAAAAAATATACTGAAAAAAACAAACAAAAATCCTAATATGCAATTATGCTGTTTTAATGTTTAATGTCAGCGTCGGACGTTTGGTCTAATAGACCATCTTCAGGGCATATTCATAAAACATAATTAACATAGACCGTATACAATTCAACATGATAAAGACGATGGACATATGGTCTATGTTAATTATGTTTTATGAATATGTCCTGAAGATGGTCTATTAGACCGAAACGTCCGACATTGACATTAAACATTAAAACAGCATAATCGCATATTAGGATTTTTGTTTGTTTTTTTTTTCAGTATATTTTACGTCATACTGTCAGATCTATATCCATATATTTGCTTACATATATATATATATATATATATATATATAAATAAATCAACAGTCAGTTTCATGTCTCAAGCAACCTTTTGACCATGTGTGAACAAGGCTTAAGGCATGAAACAAACTACTGATTTTTATGTTTACACTGTCTATATTTGTAAATACTCTCCCCAATATTGACCACTTTTCCTCCATAAATATTGCAAAGTTTAAAGACTTGATTGTGTGGCTTGTAGTTATGGGAGAGAGGTTTACCTCAAGGCTCACTTGCTCAACCTCTTCATTTGTCATGAACATGAAACAATCTACATATGTGTAAGAATCATGAAAGCTTTGTAATATCTAAGCTAATTCAATTTGCTAATGAATTTTCATATTATTTTGACATTGTTTATTAAAGGTGTAAACTGTGATTTTTGTCTCTCCAGTCAACATGTGACTTTCCTGTTGCTCTCACAGAAGAAGCTTATGAATGCACTACATATATGCGACTCTGTCATAATTTGGTTCACGGCACACCAAGTGACAGTCTTCTCTGGTTGACCAACCTGCAAGAGTCCCTTCCCTTCACCGATCAAATTTCTCTTTCCTTGACCAACGTGTTGGCCTCCATATTTATCACACCCCAATGTAAACACTTATCGACAAAAGCTTTGGAAAATTTGCTTGTTATTGCAAAAAAAGATGTCAGACAAGTAAGTCATATTATTCCAAATGTTTCTGGATATTTTTCTTTTCACTAAAATCGAATTAAAAATTTATGAAAATATTTTTTTTTTAAATCCCATAATTATGGGCAGGAATATCACAACTATAAATATGCTATAATCTAAAATACAATGTGACTGATCTCCCATTATTTACTAATGAGATATTCCATTGTGATGGTATCAAGAAGCATTCTTCTTTTATGTGTCATCATCTTTCAGGATATGAGCAATCATGACACTCTACAATTTCCTGTCTTGTCTTCTCATTAACTCTTTCCCATTTACAACCCTTCTTTATTTTAGTGTTCTTTGTTCTGCCATCTTACCAACTTATTAAATAGGTTACATGATGTTTCTCCTTGCTTCTCTTCAATATATCCTGTGATGTTTACTGTTTGCAAATAGTAAGAAAAGTATATAAATTGAATAATTTATTACAAATAAGATGTACATTATTTTCAAGAGTCAACCATTATTACTTAACATGTATTTCTTTATCTTAATTCCACTTGCTTTATTTATACTAATAATATTAGCAGTGGACGTGTAGATAGCAAAACAGAATCAGCAAGGTAAGTTCCAGGCTCATCTGTTCCATTTGCTTTCACACAAATAACCTTTGGAAAGACATCAATCTCTTCTCCAGGGAGGAAATGGCAGGGTAGACTGAGCTCTCTAGCTTTGAGTGGCCACCTGTTTTCAAACCCATGGAGAAGGCAACAAGAAAACACTTCATTATCTTTTCCAAAGATGTGTGGCAATTCACCAATAATAAAGCAAAGGAATCTGTGGAGAGCCATAATCACCTACATTTTGGATGGATATGGCATTTTAAAAAAATTATTAGTAGTAGTAATATTTAATTTTTATTAAAGGAAGTGATGTCAGCTATAATTAAATTTTGATTAGTATTTCTTTCATCTTAATTCCATCCTCTTTTCATTGCAACTACTCACATAATCCATAATCAACCATTTGCAAAGATTATGAATGAAGAACAAGGAAAAAGCTTCTGGTGAGATTTAAACTAAAGATGGAGAAAAAATAATAAAGCCAATTGAAATATAATAATGAGGTCATTAAAACCAAAAATAATGAACTTTTAGAGCAGAGAGAAGGTAAATATGCTAGAAGATTCCATTGCCAAATTGGCAGCTGACCTAAAAAAAATGACCTCCAATTTGTTGTTAAATGGGGCAAGGTGTGGCTTGTTAATTTTAATACATCAAAAACAAAACTGCTCTCTTTTAATCATCTGAGAGAACCCTTTTTACTTTCCATCAGCATATGGCTGATGCTAGCCTCCAGGAGAGTGATTCATTGCACCTTCTCAAACTAAAATTTTCCCCTGACATGAGCTGGAAAGATTATATTGAATCAATTGCTAAGAAAGTTGGTTCACTGTGTTGTGCTAGACAATTTTTCTCACCTGAATCTGTCTTAAGTCTACCATTCTTCCTTTTCTGGTGCTCCTGCTATATATTTAGAAATTTTTGATAAAATCCTAAGAAGAATCTGTAATTTTATTGGTCCTGACCTGGCATCTCACCTTCAGTCACTTTCCTACTGCCATAACATGGCTTCTTCTTGTCTTTTCTATAAATAATTTCATGGTAACTGTTTGGATGAACTTTCCACTACAGTACTTTATGAAATTAAGTACAGTACCAGATTGGTAGCAAGTTTTCATCAATTTATAGTTGAATTTATAGTTGAATTGGTTAGATTCAACCGTAAGTTCTATGCTACAAGTTTCTTCTCTTGAACTTTTTGCTTGTGGAACACTCTTTTGGCTTCATGCTATGATTTTAAAAATTTAAATGCAATGTCAACTGTTATGTACTGTCTTCTTGATTCCTCTTCTTTTGTTGTCCTTGGTCCTTAATAATGTTTCTCTCTTTCTTATCTTTCACACCTTTGTCTTAGTGGCTATATTGCCTTGCTTGGGATGAAATGATTAAAAAGATATTATTTAAGGAATTATTCATAAAAGACAAATTCTTCAGATATGTAAATATCATTTAATTTGGAAGCAAATTTATTTCTATTTCATACTATGTACTTTAAAAATCAGACTGGTTTCAAAGCTAGAAACTTGATACAAAGCAGCATAAAAACTGACCTAAAACTTCATAGTTAGAAACTTGATACAAACAGCATAAAAAAGCAGCATAAAACTTGACCATAAAACTGACCTAAAACTTCATAGTTAGAAACTTGATACAAAGCAGCATAAAAACTGACCTAAAACTTCATAGTTAGAAACTTGATACAAAGCAGCATAAAAACTGACCTAAAACTTCATAGTTAGAAACTTGATACAAAGCAGCATAAAAACTGACCTAAAACTTCATAGTTAGAAACTTGATAAAACATAGTTAGAAACTTGATACAAAGCAGCATAAAACTGACCTAAAACTTCATAGTTAGAAACTTGATATAAAGCAGCATAAAAACTGACCTAAAACTTCATAGTTAGAAAATGCTGTCTCTCTTCTGTTTTCTATCATTTTTTTTTTTTGCATGTTGTAGGCCAGTTATTTTTTGCCCCTGCTTCTCTATCAGATGGGACGAGAACCTGACCCTGTACTGAAGAGTACAATCCTCAAGGCCCTACCAGAATTGGCTCAGCATAAAGTAAGTATCCTACAAATGTACATCAGTTAGAATCTCAATTTCACTGGAATCTCTTTAAACATCTCATGAAATTCAAAGTTTTATTTTCTTCATTTTTATTGTAAATATTCTGTGACTGACATTTTTGTTCATGGATTTAAGTAAAACCAATCAATGTACATTAATTAGAATTTGACCCAATGTCAAGTATTATAGATCAGTGGAACTCAACTAGGAAGGAGTTTCAAGAAGGAACTGCAGTCACAAATTGGCAGAACCAAACTGTTAGAATATTCTACAATAGAACTTTTAAGTTAGACATTTTTAAGGAGATTGGGTGTTCGTTCAAAATGAGTGTTAAGGAAAATGAAACAATAGCACAAAATTCTTTAACCGTTTTTTAAAGAATTTATTATTTTTCATTTCTCACTGGAGATATGCAATGATCACATAAAAAGATATGTTAAAGTGCAATTGTTATAAATAAGACAGTAGAGTTTATGAAAAGGTGAAGTGATATTGTTATAGATAAGAGAGTAGATTTAAAGCTGCTGTTATACATTTTAACCAAAACATTTTTCATCCTTTTATTTGTTATGCAAATAAATTTTTGTTTTTAACAATCATCCTCTTTCCAAGAGTTGTTCAGACTATTGAACTAATTTTTTATGATGACTTTGTTGTTACAGTAACATTTTTCTTGACTCAATCTCCAAATGAGTGAAAAGTGGAGTCCATTTTCTATAAAGTGGTTATGATAATGAAAAGAACTGGTCAGCCTATTAATCACCATTTCTTTCTGTTTCTTCTAGACAAAGAGACTCCATTGTTTAATTAAGGTTTGCCAACTTGACAAAATCTATCAAAGGCATCCACTGTAACATTGTGAAAAACAACAAAAAGAATAAGTTCATTGATTTGGCCAACACTTGAAATGATAAAGACTCTTCTCAAAATTATAAATATTATAATGATGTCCACAGATTCCCTACCTGTTTTGATGCATACCTGATATTTCAATTTACATCACTCATACAAACATATCAATATTAACTAATCTCAGCTTACTTTGACACCTACAGGGTGCGATGGATAAATTGTTGTCTAAATTACACAAAAATAAAAATAATACTGACATCTCATTTTAACAGATATATTTGCCAAAATTATGCAAAAAATATCTTGAAATACTAAAGAGTAAATTTATTCAATATAATCGCCATTGGCATAAACCACGGCCCTCAAACAACTTTGAAATCTCCTGCAACTCTTCTGGATGGTGAATGCTGCCATAATCCTCAACTTCAGTTCATCTTTGGTGTTATAAGGATTTTTGTTGGTCTCTTCCTCAACTGCACCCCACACATAATAACCAAGAGTTTTGCAGTCTGGGGAGTTAGGTGACGAAATGTAAGGGTGATGTGGTGGCAGAAGTTGTCTGACATACTAAAGAGTAAATTTATTAAATAAATTCGCCATTGGCTTCAGTCAGTCTCTAGACGACTTTGGAATGTTCTGGATCTCTTCTAGATGGTCTTGTTTAAGTTGGTGAATGTGGCCATAATCCTTGCCTTCAGTTCATCTTTGATGTTACAAAGAGTTTTCTGGGTCACTTGCTCAAATGTGCCCCATACATAATAATCAAGGGAGTTGCAGTCAGGTTAGGTAGCCAGATGTAAGGGGTGATGTGGGCGCAGAAATTGTCCGACACCCATGACTGGGTTCTCCTGCTTGTGTGGCATGGTGCAGAGTCCTGTTGACAGACATAGGGTAATCCAGCCTCTTGACCCAGGGCAGCACTACCTCCTCAAGGCACAATGTAGGCTTCTGTGTTGAGTTTGAGACCCTGTAGGAAGATGAATGGAGACATAACGTTACTATAACTAATAATCACTCCATACACCATTAAGCTCCTCCAACTCTTTCCAAATCCTTTGCACTGTTGATTGACAATTAAACACTCTGAAATGTTCATATTGGCACTTCTGGCATGAATGCCAAGCAGTACAGCATGCTGTTTGCAAATTTCTGGTGGAGTGAATTGTATCATGATTCTCTTTTTCTCACAGATAGTACCCAAATGACTCTACTATAATATGGAGTCAATAAAAAACAACACACATACACAAAATTAAAAATATAAAATGGCAGCAATTTACCTATCACACTCTGTATATAGCTACACATGTAAGTAATATGACAGATATGAAGCCATTAGAAAAAGTTGAAATATTTGTTAGTTTTAAGATGGGAATGCACTCTTCAACTGGGAGATTTATGTACAATAATTATCCTACCTTCCCCAATATGTCTTTGTACTAATCTAAGCTTTCTGAATACTTTATTTCCTGTCATATAAGGTGCACTTAAAAAATTCTGCAAACGTCACTCTGAATCTTATATTCTTGTATGTTTGGGTTATCAGTAATAGATTAACACTTAAACACACCTGTTTAATATACATGTCTTCCCATTATTAAACACACACACACACATACATACATACATACATACATATATATATTGTCAATTATGATGGTTTAAAATGCAAAACAGAGGAAAATCACGTTACCAACACTGTAAAACTTTTATAAGAGTTGAGATCATTAAAAGATACAATATATATATATATATATATATATATATATATATATAAAAAAATAAATAGACATAATGTGTCTATTATTCAATGGAACATGTTTAAATGAAGATATACTATCTAAATAAATATATATATGTATGTCACACATTATGAAATGGACAAAGTTTGACAATTTAAGACATTTTTATGTTTATACATTCTTTTTATAGATACAAATATTTAACTAAATTATTATGAACAGAGCATTTACTTAAATATTTGTATCTATAAAAAGAATGTATAAACATAAAAATGTCTTAAAATATATATGTATATGTAATTTCTATATATATTATTTATATATTATATATGCAAAGTACTTATTGGAAAGCGTTCAATATCAGGAATAGAGATAACATACTTAGTTGAATTGATGTGAGTTTTTGACTCTGGGTTTCATGCCCTTGTGATCATCAGGACAAACTCACATTAATACAACTAAACACACACACACACATTTTTATATATATATATATATATAAAAGAAAAAACTTAAAAATCTATTTCGGTTATAATTTATTTCATGAATATATTTTAATATTCATCTCTTCAAACCGAATCTTCTTTGGAAATGAAATCAATGTGATAGGAAAAAAGAGGAGGAAAACAGGAAAAAGTATTTATATTAAAAAAAGAAAAAGACAAATTTCAATATAACATTGAAAAAAAATAAATAAATAATTTGGGGGAAGAAAGAAAATGAGAGGAGAGGGAGAGAAAGAAGGTAAAAGAAGGAAGAAGGAAAAAGATGACCTAGAAACAAATTTTTCTTTAAATGCTGAATGAGTTAATATACTGGGTAGGGAAAAACTTAATAATATTCAACCAAAGATTCCTTCATATTTACACATTGGCTTTTTATATTCTAACATGATTTTGATTTGCAATCATATATATATATATATATATATATATATATATATATATATATATATATCGCGATTTGGAATCATATTTTTAAATAAATAATTATATATATATATATGAAGAAATATACTTTTAAGGTGTGCTATATTTATGGGATAAAGTGCTCAATATCAGAGATAGTGTATGTAAATATAAAACATAAAAGTGAATATTGAAGTCAACACTCTGTTTCATGCTAGACACAATCATCAGGCTGATTTTTATATATATATATTGGTTGAATATTATTAAGTTTTTCCTAAATATTCCTTAACATATTATTGGTATGTGTTAAACAACAAGGAATACAATAAGCGTTGGATGAACTTTGAACTAAAGCATTTTGTGTTGTTTTTTTTTTTCAGAAGATTTATCTAATTATTTTTGTTAACATATTTCTCTGATTTTGCTTATTTCTATGATGCAGACTTCTACATCACATTGCGATGTGTCTCCACATTTTCATGTATTTTTAAACTGTTCTGTCCTCTCTAATTTTCTTTAGGCTTGTGTTGGGCCAATCCTTAAATCAATCCAGGACTTAGGCCGCTTCAGCCAATTAAAGCCCATTTCATTGTATCTCCTCACCAAATTGTGGATGATCCAAGACCGTTGCTTCCCACAACTGCACAAAGCCTTAACTGAAGAACCAATCACAAGGCAAAGTACAACCGTGGCCAAACTAGAGCTGCTCTTTGCCCAAGCATCAACAATCAAGGAGATTTGTCTTTTACGGTAAATACCTGTTGCTCTAAGGAATACGTAACACTTACATTTTAAGTAAGGCATGACCCCTGTCCATAAAATGTCATCACAAAAAAGAAACGTCATATTAAATTTGGTTTCAATCAAAATAAAGAAAAGTAAGCAAACAATTAACACTGAGTGGGCTACATTTTATCCAAATTGATGTTAAATTTGGGTTCATGAAATTTCTTTTCTTCTTAAGCATGTTTTGAGAAAATTTGCATAAAAAATATTTGAATGTATCAAAAGTATTTTCGTTATTTTACAGACCTTTACTCTAAACCTTATAGATAATGCTCTATATATTATATCCTTTGATGATCTCAACTCTTATAAAAGTTTTATAGTGCTTCTACCATGATTTTTCTGTCTCTTGCATTTGAAACTGTCATAATTGACAACTGATGATGGTTTTTGTTGGGTACAAGTTACCACCTTTAAAATGCTGAAACCAGTTTGGGGCAGTCCAGTCAGTTAGTAATTGTTTCATTTAACTCTACTATTTAAATCCTGCAGGCAGCTTCCCTATTTTTCAGCCTCATTTCAAATAAGGACTCAAAATTGACTTAATATAAATACTTGTATCCACCCTCTTATAATATGTGTAACAAAAAGTATAACAATATAAATACATACTGTGATGACTAAATTATGCAAAAATGAAAATAACACTGACATTTTTATCAGAGATATTTACAAAAAATTACACAAAAATATCTTAAAATACTATACAATAAAATCGCCAATGCATGGCCTCCAGATTACTTTGGAACACAATCCACCCCATTAAACAAAGGTTAAATAGTAATGATAATATTAGATGTTTCCTCATAAAGGAAACATTCGGCATTCGTTGACCAAACAGCCAGTGCTACACAAGTTAAAACTTTTCTTTACATTGGGTTGGGATCAAAGTGTAGTATCTGCTATCAAACTATATTTTATCTCTCAATTGTGTCTTTGTCTTCCCCAAACTTCAGACAGAGATCAATACAGTTATGTCTTTGGGCAATACAGTTTCTGTCTATATTTCTGAGATGAGGTATTCTACATTAGTCCTCATCTTTGTCGCCATATTTGTCACAACGTTTCGAAGGAATTTCGAACTGAACCCTGGGGTAGACTGTTCTAGTTCCACGCGCCATGTTTGATGGATGTCAGTTATCAGTTATCTCCTGCTAATTTTCCCTCTGAAAGTTTTCCACTGCCTTAACCAGGAAGTGAACTCACCTTCTTTGGGTCTGTCACTGGATCTAACCAACGCCTTTATCCACTGTGCCATGTGGGTATGAACTTCTGAGTATTATAAACCTAATGTTTTTTAGCATCATTTTTACCAGAGTTCATATTGCAACTTTGTTATCATTGCTTTTCTCTGGCACTCCTTATTACTGGTTCCCATATTGTATTTATTTCTATGCTTGGCTGGCTCAGGAGATTTTTGTGGCCTAGCATATGTGCTGATTCCTTAAGTTTGCGAATTTTCCAATGGTGTTCCCTATCTATGATTTCAACATGATCCCACAGGGGGCGGGGATCTCCCTTCTCTCTCCATACGTGGTCAGCCACGCCTGTTTTTTCTACTTCCCCTCTCGTTACAGCTTTCTGGTGTTCTTGAAGCCTTACCTTGAGGGGGCGGCCTGTTTCTCCTTTATATTCCTTTCCGCAGCTGCATGGGATAGCGTACACACTGTCTTTAGTCATGTTCCTCTCTGTGGGGGCTCTCACTTGTGAGAGATACCTGTGAAGTGTTGTCACACTTTTGAAGGTTGTCCTGATGTTATATGGACCGCAGATCCTTTGTATTTTCTCTGATAACCCCTTCACATAAGGCAGGCAGACTGTTTTCTGAGTGTTGTTGTCCTCCTCCTCTTGTACCCGCCTATCCCAGTTTTTGGGGGCTGCTGCCATGTACCCAGGGTAGTTGTTACGTTGTAGGGTACTACTTATACTGACCAATTCCTTATCTAATGTCTCTGGATCGCCACTTATGACTTTTGTTCGGTGTTGTAAGCATCGGACGATCCCTTTCTTTACGCTGTATGGATGGTGGGAGTTGAAATTGAGGTACTGTCCGGTGAATGTTGGTTTACGGTATACGGATGTCTTGAACCCATGCTCTGTTCGAGATATTAGTACATCCAGGAATGGTAGTGAGTTGTTACTCTCTTTCTCCATTGTGAACTGTATCGAAGGTCTTATTGAGTTCACATGATCCAGTAGAACCTGGACATCTTCCTGATGTGGCCAAAGTATGAAGGTGTCATCTACATACTGTAACCATATAGTTTGCTTTAGCGATGTAGACTCTAATGCCATTTCTTCAAAGTATTCCATGTATATATTCGCCATTGCTGGTAATAATGGCGAGCCCATTGCTAAGCCCTCATCCTGTCGATATATGTGAGATCCCATTCCGAAGTATGTTGTTTGTGTACAGAAAGTCAACATCTCCATCAGATTATCTCCCTAAGATTCACAAAGACGGTATTCCACTCTGGCCGATTGTTAGTTGCCAAGGCTCTGTGTGCCATCCTCTGAGTCGCTTCCTTGTAGATATAATTGACCCATTGATTGGAAAGTCTCCTTCATATGTCCGAAATTCCGCCCACTTCGTGGAAATAATCAAAGATGCTCCCATCCTATCCAACCAGATGGTGAGCTTGGACATGGTGAGTCTGTTCACCAAGGTACCCACAGAGGAGGCACTCTCAGTAGTCAGAGATAGATTGACTTCTGACTCTTCCCTAGAGGAGCGGACCAGCATTCCAATAGATAATCTGAGAAAATACAAAGGATCTGCGGTCCATATAACATCAGGACAACCTTCAAAAGCGTGACAACACTTCGCAGGTATCTCTCACAAGTGAGAGCCCCCACAGAGAGGAACATGACTAAAGACAGTGTGTACGCTATCCCGTGCAGCTGCGGAAAGGAATATAAAGGAGAAACAGGCCGCCCCCTCAAGGTAAGGCTTCAAGAACACCAGAAAGCTGTAACGAGAGGGGAAGTAGAAAAAACAGGCGTGGCTGACCACGTATGGAGAGAGAAGGGAGATCCCCGCCCCCTGTGGGATCATGTTGAAATCATAGATAGGGAACACCATTGGAAAATTCGCAAACTTAAGGAATCAGCACATATGCTAGGCCACAAAAATCTCCTGAGCCAGCCAAGCATAGAAATAAATACAATATGGGAACCAGTAATAAGGAGTGCCAGAGAAAAGCAATGATAACAAAGTTGCAATATGAACTCTGGTAAAAATGATGCTAAAAAACATTAGGTTTATAATACTCAGAAGTTCATACCCACATGGCACAGTGGATAAAGGCGTTGGTTAGATCCAGTGACAGACCCAAAGAAGGTGAGTTCACTTCCTGGTTAAGGCAGTGGAAAACTTTCAGAGGGAAAATTAGCAGGAGATAACTGATAACTGACATCCATCAAACATGGCGCGTGGAACTAGAACAGTCTACCCCAGTGATCGAAATAAAGGGTTCAGTTCGAAATTCCTACCACCTGAAGAAGGCCGGAGCGTACAACGGCCGAAACGTTGTGACAAATATGGCAACACAGATGAGGACAATAGTCCGACTAATGTAGATACTGTATCAATACAGTTATGTCTTTGTCTTTGGGCAGAATGCAACTAAAAAAATATCCAGTCTCAATAAAATGGTTGCTCGCAGGAGTACCACCAAAGAATTGTGATCAGTAGTAATACCAATGGCAGCACAACACTTATAGGAACTGGACTATTTTTGGACATGGCTCAGGTGCATTCACTCTGGCTTCCCACAATAAACCTTGTGTCATATCCTTCCACAGGGGTGTAAATACTAAGTGTAGTATATGTTCTCTTCATCTCTCATATTAGATATTTCCTTATAAGGAAACATTCAGCATTCATTGACCAAGCAGCTATTGCTACTTTTGGTTGCAATTTATAAAATTTAAAACAATTTTTCAGAAAAATAGGTTTCTTGTGTCTAGTAGCTTTTGATTGCTAATTTGAGTATTGATAGGAACTTCCTCCTACCTAACCATTTTGTTCAAAGTAGTGTGGAACATCAGCATCTTAATTATGACATTATTTTCTTTTCAAGTTGTTACATATTATAACTATTTTAGTTGTTGCTACTTTTGAAAGTCTTCAGGTGATGTGGTTTCTGTTATTTGGTACAGGTCTTTGTTTGTGATTCTGTTGCGCCCGTCCACAAGCCTCAAAGCTAAAACCTACATGCTTCACTCAAAGGCATTTTTAACTCAAGACAGACATGCTTACAGAGGTGTTGAGGTCTCACACATATACACACACTCACAGAAATATATACACATACACGTACTCCCAAAGAACTAAAAGATAACATACACTTAACACACACATCCCATTCCCAGCAAGCAATAAAACCATCAAAATGACAAAGAAGGGGATTCTTAAAGTCTGGAATCTCCCATCCACTATCTTAAAATCAACTTGAAAGAGGCCATTTGACACAAGGACTGACCAAAATTAACGATAAAAAACAAATGAAACTACAGGTAAAGTTCACTTTCTTCAGAAACAGTCATTCACTCCTGTAGTTCACTGCTACAAACAAACAGATTTTTTTTTCTCCTGATGATGGCCATGCTGGCTGAAATTAGTCAAGGAACCTAATTAAAATAACAAAACAAAAAATATTAATATACCGCCTTGTGTGTGTTAAAATTTTAATTTTTTTAATATTTTTTATTGTTCAAAATATACAACGAAACAGTACTGTCTGCGAATGACATAATTTAGCTCTTGAAAATATATTTTCAATTGAGCACTGTTAAATGACAAGCTAATTCTAAAAAACAACACTCATCTGTGTAAATGCGAAGCTCTTCAGTAAAATGAATGGAGCACTACGGCTGCTTGGAGTTTGTTTACATTTGTAAAAACAATACGCTAGATTTGGCTGATTTGTTCTGTCAAGTGAAGATGGCTCAGTGGTAGAAGCACTGACTGACACCAAACCGGTTGGGTTTCAATCCGGGCCTGAGGCATTTGGTTATCTAGTCGCACTGAGAAGCTGTGAAACAGTACTGTCTGCAAATGACATATATATACAGTAGCGTCCAAAACTAAGGGACAAAATTTTAAAACCTAATATTTGTTAGAAATAACAACTGTGAAAAGCTGAAATTTTGACAACTGGTAGTCGTTATCATCCATAATAACATACTAAAATTTGAATCATTTGCAAAGGATAGAAAAAGAATTATAACAATTATTTATTTTCAAAATAGGATCGTCCAAAAGTAAGGGACAAAATTGAGAAAAACAATGTAAACAGTATGCTATATTCAAATTTTTGATTTCCTCTAAAGAATAAGTCTTACTTAGACATTTGTAAACGTTGCATCAGCCGGCACCATGGCTTAAACGCTCCAAAAAAACTTGATTACTCTGTGAGACAAGCTATTGTGAAGCTACACAAGGAAAAGCACACCATTAGAGAGATTTCAGAGAAAGTGAAATGTTCCAAGAGTGTTGTAGGCAGGGTTGTTAAATCCTACAATGATACTGGCAAAATAGTTAGTGCTTTTAAAACCGGCAGACCCCGCAAAGCTTCGGCAAGAGAAGATCGAATAATGCAGCGTATGTCATTAAAGGACCGTTTTAAGTCTTGCACAGAAATTAAAAGGGTTATGAATAGTACCTCATGTGTTAATGTGTCAAGACAGACTGTTTCTAGACGACTGCAAGAAATAGGGCTGTATGTATATGTATATATATATATATATATATAATGAGATCATAAAGTTTTAGATTTGTACATGATTAAATAAAGTTTCGAGCAAAGGTTTGTTAAAAAACAGAAATATTTAATGGCATGTCACAATATTCTATCAGTTGTTTTAATTTCTGTTTTGAAAACTAGAAAGCATCCTGATCTCACAAGCCATTCATAAGTTATGCTTGTTTTTCAGAAATCTCATTTTATGCAATAGTTGATTCAGTAAAAGATAAACAGATCAATATAAAACCAGCATTATTATTAAAGAAATAATCAACATTTTCTGTGGCTCTACATGGACTGCAAATCATATTTGTTAATAAATTCCATGATGATTTTTTTTTCATTATTGCAGGCCTGTGCAACATGGTGCAGACATGTTGAGTCTCCTGTCAAATATTCTCAATGTATGCAGAAGTGAACACTGTACAGCTGCTGTTTGTTTAGCTTTGCAAGGTCTGTCTGGCCTGTGTGAAGCAGAGGTAAATTTTATTTGAATCATTTCTTTGTTCAACATAAGAGGATTGCCAGTCAGTTATAAAATTTTGCCAAAAAGGATAAAGATGATTGAATTCATATGCTTGTATTTTAAATTTACATTGTTTGAAAAAAAAGATTCAGATAACCGTATCTACTAAATACATTTTGAGTAGTAAAAAATATATATTTAACAACTTAAGTCTTTGGCAATTTCAACCATGGAAAGATTAACAATCAAACAAAGTGTTAAAGTTATCAAAGCCTATTACAAAAATGGACGTTCAAACAGAAATGCATTTCACACACTTCACGATTTTTTTTGGTCAGCATAATTGACCAACCGAAAGTGCATTTGGAAAAATTGTTCAAAAATTCAAACAAACTGGGTTGGTAGCAGATGTGAAGAAACCATTGCATGCTTGTTTACGCCGTTCAGGTGCACAAGAAGGTGGTTGAAAATCCAAACACCTCTGTTTGTCATCATGCGCAGGAATTAAACCTCTCCACAACAACATTACATTGAATTTTGACAAAAGATTTGTCTCTACACACTTACAAAATTCAATTGACACAAGAACTGAAACCTGCTGATGAAGATTTTTCACAAAAAATCCTCTTTAGTGATGAAGCCCATTTTCATCTTGGTGGATTTGTTAATAAGCAGAATTGTCATAACGGCAAGTAATGCACTGCACTTTTTGCCCCCCTCCCATCATTTTTTTTCCTATATATATGCTGTTACCTGTGAAAATAGATTTCTTGAAATTGTATTTGCAATGACAGAATATTCTCAACCAGATATCTTAAAGAAATAAAAATCCTGTTTTCATTGAACTTCATTTACAGAAACTGACCTACAAATAAGAAAATAATTTTCCTGCAGCATTGATTTTCTTTGATATAAACGATATCTGTCTAATCTTGGCTATTTAATATTAGCAAAATAAATAACCTACCTAGGGCAATGGCATCTTAGTTCCTGTCAAGGTACTCACTCATCGAAGTACTGCTTTAACTTTTAACTTTTGAAAATAGTTTGCAAAGTTCTCTTTAAAGATTATCATCAGCTACCTCATTATATTCTCCTCAATCACACCTATGAACTCTCCATTTTAGCTGTTTAGTCAAAAGTCGCAGAGGATCAGATCAAGATTGCAAAGAGGGCTGACAGACATGAGGGATGCAATGTTTTGCTAAAGTACCCCACACATGATTTAAAGCATCTGCTTGCTTAGTCATTGGTGAATGTGACAGTCCCATAATACACAAGCTCACTTATTGATGTTTTAATGCTGACTGAGTTGACCTAAAGGAATTTTTTTTTTGTTCACACATGTGCAGTAAGTTCCTCTCTTACCAGTCTGCCAAGTTATATCAAACACACACAACAGGTTTTTGAAATATTCAAAATGGCTAGATAGATTCTCAATAGACTTTTTATATATATATATATATATATATATATATATATATATATATATATATATATTGTACAATAGATTTGTTTTTTGTGTTCATTTTATACCCTTTGATATATCTGATAATCCGTCCTGGGTATGATGATAAACTACATCCACATCCTGGGTAAGACAATAAACTATGTCCAACAGCAAGGCCTCTGATCAGGAGGTTTTGAGGAGCGTGGAACCACCTCTTAATGGCTGGTGTTCCCAGGTCCACTCTGACCCAGAGTGGTAGCACCTGTTAGGGTCCCGGCTATGGGCAAATAGTTAACCACAAACTGGGGTCAAAACACTATGAAATTGTAAAAACAGGTTTTAATACCAGCAATAAATTTTTGAGGAAAAATTATTAACAGCAGTACATTTTTGGAAAAAGTATTAACAGCAATAAAAATCTTGTTGACATTGATATGCTATAAAATGAAACAAACCAAACCATATCTGATAATTCTGATTTTTGTCCTGGGTATGATGATAAATTATATCAGGCAGCAAGGCCTCTGATCTGGAGGTTTTTGGGGAGTGTGGTAGCACCTGTTAGGGTCCCAACTATAGGTAAATAGGGAACCCCCAAACTGGGGTCAAAACAAGGAAATATAAAAATACATTAGACAAAATTACCAACAATAAATTATTGGAAAAAAAAATTACCACCAAAATAAAAATAAAATTTTGGCATTAAATGACCCATAAGGAGATCATATACTGCTAACCAAACCATAATTCTGATTTAATTTTTGCTTATTTTTCCAACTGTAGGTTGTAAGTATTCAGAGTGTGTGGAAATTACTCTCAACTCAACTGGCTAATGACAAAAGGTAACTTTTTCTTTATATCTTGCCATGTTTTACACTCCCAAGTATTTCTTGGTTTTACATTCTTTTTTGCCTATTTTAAGGCACATCTGTGTATGTTTCATGTACAGACATGATATCTTTTTCACATGTCACAAGACCAAATAACATTACGTCTACTAATTTCAAAACCCCAAATCCCCCACTTGTATCATAAAGTAACAGATGTATATTTTTCACTGTACTGTTTATCTATATTCTGATTAAATTTGTTGTGCTTTATTCTACCAAATACATCACCATCAGCAACAACCTATATTTCATTCAGTTCATTATTTCTTATCAAGTATATCAATTTCTCTATGCATGATTCAGTCTTGGTTTCTACAATAGTAGCAGAAACATCTTGATGTTTAGTGAATTTGTGTCCAGGTGATTCAGATTTCTGTAATTCATGATATCCAAGGTTTTCTGTACAATGACCACATTGCATATTTTCATTGGATAAAACAAATCAGTTTTGTAAATAGGTGAATAAATAATCTAGAAAATCTACTGGCAGCAAACTGCTTTGCATACAGATTGAAAATGAGCAAGTACATAAAAATAGAAAGGCATGTAAGACAAGGATGTGTCTTCTCGCCAGATTTATTTAACTAATTGTGGCAAGGATAAAATTAAGTCTTTTCTTGAAAAAAAAAATTTGTGTTTTCTGTTCTGTTTATCAAAAAAAAAAAGTTCAAATCAAGATCAGGGCTGCTTTAGAAAGGCCTTGAAATATGGTGATTTTATGCAATTACCTACTAGCATTGGCTAATTACAGCTTTTCTCATGACAATAAAAGAATTTTACTTTGGACAACAGCAGCATTATTCTTTGTTTTTCTTGAACAAAGTAGGCAATTCTATGTTGCGAGTTATGGATACAGATTTTTTTACTCCTTTTGATTGACATCGCCAGTAGTTTTTACTTTGAACTTACAAGACTGATTTATGACCCTTTAAATTACAAGCCCAGATTTCTGATTTGAGATCTGAAGCCCCACTCACCCATTGTTATTTTCTCACATGTATACAGCAAGGCAGTCCTAAGAGAACTAGAAGTCTTACCAGGATTTATTAATTGATACAATCTTGATTAAAAGATTGATACAATCTTAACAACATAAGATATGCAAATGACACTATGTCAATAGCAGACACAAAAAGAAAACTCTTAGACAAAGGAAAGCAGGAAGAAAGGACTAACCATCAATTGTAAAAAGACAGAACATATGGTTGTCAGCAAGAGGAACAAACTTACATATGAGTCTATAAATTGGTGGTTTCAAAATGAAGCAAGAGTGAACATTTAAATATCTTGGAAGTGTTGAAAGAGATAATGGAAAAAATGACACAAAATCCAAAGCCACATTGGAAAATCAAAAGATGCCTTCTAAAATCTAAACAAAGGATTAAGAAACAGGAAAATTTTCTTAGAAACTAACAAAAAAAAAATAGTGCTGAATTGCTATGTAATATCAATTCTCTTTATATGGCATTGAAGGCTGGACAATTTCTTTACCAGCAACAGAGATGTCATTCTACAAGAGAAAAGGGAAAGAAATATAAAGGGAGACAGACCGCCCCCTTAAGGTAAGGCTTCAAGAACACCAGAAAGCTGTAACACGAGCGGAAGTGTAAAAATCAGACGTGGCTCACCACATATGGAGAGAAAAGGGAGATCACCACCCTTTGTGGGATCAGGTTGAGATCATAGACAAAGAACATCATTGGAAAATGCGTAAACTTAAGGAATCAGCACATATGCTAGGCCACAAAAATCTCCTGAGCCGACCAAGCACAGAAATGAATACAATATGGGAACCAGTAATAAGGAGTGCCAGAGAAAAGCAATAATAACAACAAAAATTGCAATATGAACTCTGGTAAAAACATGTCAAGATAACAGCAAAAATTGCAATATGAGCACTGGTAAAAAACGGTAATGAAGACATTAGGTTTATAATACCCAGAAATTCATATACAGATGTCGTCAAGGACACATGGCACAGTGGATAAAGGTAATTAGTTAGATTCAGTGACAGGATCCAAAGAGTGTGAGTTCAATACCCTGTTAAAGTGGGAATTAATAGGAGATAAATAGAGGGGAATTAACAGAAAATAAACATGGCACATGGAACTAGAACAGTCTACTCCAGTGAGTGAAAAAAAGGGTTCAGTTCAACATTCCAACCACCTGAAGAAGGCCGGAGCGTACAATGGCCAAAACGTAATAAATATGGCGACAAAGATGAGGACAATAGTCCGAATAATGTAAATAATGTACATAATACCTCATCTCAGAAATATAGACAGATAATGTATTTTTTTAAGTCTACACACTTTAATAAATATTACTGACTTGACATCAGGTTTATAAAATCTCAAAATACACTCTTATGCTCAATGATGTAAACCATAAAGTGTAAAGTTAAAGTTTTTGATTTATATTTTGAAATTTATTTATGATAAATATTATAAATATATTTTCAATATTTACAATTTATGATTACAAAATTTTTTTTTTTTCTTTTTTTAATGTCAATATATTTGTCTTTCTCAGGCCTGCCGTGACTATCAAGATCTGCGAAATGTTTTCCTTGGTACCACAATTATCTGTTGAAAGTGAAGCCTTTGAGGTGAAAAGCAAATTTTTGATATTACCTTAACAGACTAATGTTTCATTATTTCCTGATCTGATATTAATTATTTTCTAATATTTAGAATAAAATTTTGATATTTTATTTCAAAACAAACCAAATATTATATCTTCACAGAAAAAAAACAATGGCTTTAACCTTCCTGGTATTGTTTTGTCAACTTAGTTGTACTAAAATAGTTGATATGTGGGATTGAAGATCAGCTTTGTAATCTCTGATTTGCAGGACCATTGTGCAAATCGTAAAGCGCGTAAGACAATAAACTACATCCGCATCCTGGGTAAGACAATAAACTACATCCAGCAGCAAGGCCTCTGATCAGGAGGTTTTGATGAGCATGGAACCACCTCTTAATTGCTGGTGTTCCCAGGTCCACCCTGACCCAGGGTGGTAGCACCTGTTAAGGTCCCAGCTATGGGCAAATAGTTAACTATTACCAGCAATAATTTTTTTGAAAAAATTATTACCAGCAATACATTTTTGAAGGAAATATATTACCAAAAATAGATTTTTGACAAAACAATATTACCAGCAATAAAAAATGTTGTCGGCATTAAATAACCCATTGAGGTTGATATGCCGTAAAACAAAATAAACCAAACCAATCTAAACCAAAGAATACATATTCTATTCATACGAATCTATCCTAAAAATGTTGTTGGCATTAAATAGCCTATTGAGGTGTTGATATGCCGTAAAACAAAATAAACCAAACCAAAGCAAATCGTAAAGCCTTATAGTAATTGAAAAATGAAAACATGCATCAACCAAAGAAATGGAACATGTTGCTCCCACTTACTGTTTACGATAATTCAGTCATCCAAATCAGTAAAACAAGATCTGTAATAAAACTGCTTTTTAATCATCCTTCAAAATGCAAGAACCTTTTTTTGTAATACTTTTATTACCACAAGAAGTGAGCCCATGGCCAAGAGGTTAAGATATTAGCATTCCAACGACGAGACACATGGTTGATTCTCACCATGGTCTATTTGTCAGGAAGGTGACTTCTTGATGTTATTAGACTAGGGAGATGATTCCAGCAGGTGGCACCAAAATGGGAAGTACTTGAAAAACCAATGCCACAGGTTTTGATCCCTGTATCTTGTGAGTGAAATTGTTTGGAATCCCAAAATCAAACTACTGATCATGCCAGATTATGCACTCTCTCCCAGAAACTGCAACTGAAGTCCACTGATCAAGGTTACAGTATAAACTGTATTTGATCACTCTAGGTGTTTAAAAAACACAAATGTATCTGAGAAGGAAGGAATTAGTTCGACAATTCTCGAAGACAGGTATACTCATATACAAGTGACCAGTCATATATTACCGCAAGAAAAACAAGATGAAATTTTGTGCCAAAAAAATGTCACATTTAAATAATTCTATAATAAATATGTTTAGTATTACTAAAACATTTTAGCCTTTCTCATAATAGAAATATTTAATTTGAAAATTTTGAAGTAGTGCTTGTATTGACTAATTTGTCTTGTTTTTTTTACCGAATCCAGAAATTCTATGGCGATGTTGTAAGTATGCTATGGATCCTCACGCAGCGATTTGGATCTGTCACAGCTAAACGTACTGATACTGAAGTCAGTGCAGCAGCATTCAAATCTCTTTCTGCATTCAAGGCTGAAGATTTCAATATTAACCATTTCCCTCCCAAGGTAACTTTGACAAGCCTTTCTAAATCCTATTTTTCTGACTTTAAAACTCAGTGTCAGGCTTTTTAATTTTCAGACAGAAATTCTGTTTTTAATAACTTTATTCAAAGAACAAAAATTTTGCCTTAAGAATAATTATGAAACTTGGGTGTATTAAAAAAGAAACATAAATCCTTAGCCTCACATGACTGAATTTTGATATGAAATTTTCATTGTATAGTGTTCACTCTGTGATTAATGTTAAGCTCAGTGCATTAATAAGGAAGGAAATTATGTTGAAAATGAATAACTGTTTTTTTAATGATTTTTTTCTACATTAGATTATGAAATTATTGATACATACCTGAATATATATAACTCCTTACCTAAATTATAGCTGAGAAATAAAGCATTAAAAGTAATTGCTAAAAACTCTGGATGGCACTCAAATCTAATGGTGTATTTTTTTCTAGTCAAGATAATTTGTTAATTAATCTTAGAACAAAGACCCTCAAGCCTTTTCTGACCTTTCCACCAAATTTCAAAATGACATTCCACGTTTTCAAGTATGATTGCCTGAAAATAGTGCTTTGTAAAAATGTAGTTTATAGAAAGATCAATATCCAACAAATTGAATCTGCCCCTCTGTGGTTCCAATTACTCCCAAAATGCCCTGGTGCGTGGCAAGGAAAGTGATGGAGAATAGTCCCTCAGCTGACAACAACTGTCTTAAAGTAAAGTTCTTAATCTCTTACTATAAATAAGACTTCCAAAATTCTATTTCTTTTTCTTTATGTCTCATGTCATTACAGGTTTCTTCGATATTTGATTCTTTGTGGCATTTCTTGAAGAAACGAGGCTAGCATTACTTAGCAGGAATTAACAAAATGACTCTATATTCAAATACTATCAGAATTAACATTAGAATTGAATCACTATAACTGGTCTGGTACTTCTGCTATGAATTTCAGAGATTCATGATGAAATACTAAGAACCTTCATTTTTATCAGTCCAAACCTGGTATCTTGGCTTAAATCACTTTCCCATCACCATAATGCATCTTCCCTGTGCCTTTTCTATAAATATTTTCATGGTAATTGTTCTGATGAGCTTCCCTCTTCAATAACTCTTTATGTTCTTTTATATGTCCTATCTCCTCAACAATGTTTTCTCAGGTTTTTTTTTTTTTGGTGGGGGGGGGTCACTCTTAGTTGCTTTTTCACCTTGCTTGGGTTGAAATGATTTAAAAAAAAAACATTTAAAAGTTCTTAATTGTTAAATAAATTTGTTTATTGCTGAATTACCAAGCCTGCCTCTCGTATCAAAAAGTGAAACATATCCGGTTAGGAAAAGCATATAAATATGTAAATGATTCTCTTACTGTAATAAGACAAAAAGAAGAGCAACTTTTTGACTCTGTTTTTTCGTCTCAAAAATATAATAAAAGAATGGTTTAAAAGGAACAAGAATTTTACTCTGTTTTTATAGGAACATATTTTTATAATTGCAATGTTTATAAAAAGTTGTGGCCTAAGCCAGTTCTGGTTTTGAATTTTTCAGGTTACTGAAGATTTTCGTTTACAAGCAGAAGCAATGGTTAAACTAAAGATAGAAGAAAATCCGGACATAACAGTTGAGAGTCTTTTACCTGTTGTTCCTGGTGTTTGTTATATACGACTTATTCGAACTTTCCAGTCAGAAGTACAATTAGAGGGTAAGCCTATGAATTCTGTCTACTCAAAATTATAACTTCTTTTTTTAATGCCATACTCTTGAAAGATGTTGGTAATCATGGCTCTCCACAAAATCCTTTTCTTTATAATCTGTGAATTGCCAAGACTGTGAAAAGATAGAGGAGTGGTTTCCTATGGCCTTTTCAACAGTTTCAGATTCAGAATTTTCCAGACTGGCTGTCATCTAAGACAAGAAAACCCAGTTTAACCTGCTATTTAATCCATAGCCTAGGGAGAAGAAATGGATTCATCACTTTTCCAAGGGCATTAGGGCAAAGTGAATTTGAATTTGGTTCACCAATTCCATTTTCCTCACCAACTGACCATTACACAAACCAACACAACCAACTTGGTTTTATTTAATGATTTTGCTTAGTCAATATTAGAAGACATTTGCTTTTAGTATATAAACTCAATGTTTTTACCCTCACTGATAAAAACCAATGTAAATTTTTTTATCTATGGTGGCTACAGATATACATTTTCGATGTTACTGCTACCCCACCCCACACACACATATGAAAGCGTCTTTTGCTTAAGTAATTTCTCATAGTTGGCCGACATTTATAAATTATCATCAAAAGCCTTATCACTACAAGAAAATATTTTGTAAAGAATGTATGTTTATACTTAATACGTGTACATTCTTCATTCTATGGCAAATGTGAAAAGATTGTATTGAAAGTAGACTTTATATTACTTTATCATCCATTATCAAATGTTGCTATTTTTGGGTATGATGATAAACTACATCTAGCAGCAAGGCCTGTGATCACGAAATTAAAAGTTTTCAAGAGAGTGGAAACACCTCTTAATTGCTGCTATTCCCTGGTTCACCCTGACCTGGGGTGGTAGCACCTATTAGAGTCCCATCTAGGGGCAAATAGTGAACCCTCAAACATAAAAGTATAAAAATACATTTTTATAGTAAAATTACCAACAATACATTTTATAGAAAAATGACCAATACATTTTACCTGTAGTTGAAGTCTTACAATTGGATTCAAAATATATTTAGTTGAAGCCATAAAATTGTGTTCAAATTTAAATAATCCATATAGTTATTGATATGCTGCTAAACAAAATCAACCAACCAACATGAAAGAAATTTTTGATGACATTAATCCATATAATATCCAACAATTTCTTACAGAAATCAAACTGTATTCCAAAATATGACTTCAACAAAACAACATAAAACACACCTATCCCCCACTCTAGTAATCATGTTCTGATAAACATGTATATACACAAAAGCTAAGCATCATCTACCATGTATTCAATTGTGAAAGCAGAATAACATATTTATTATTTCAAAACTCTCAAGAAAATTAAATTTCAGCATTAAATAACCCATAAGGAGTTAATATGCCATTAAACAGACAAATCAAATGTTGCTTGTAATAGCATTCCACAGCATAGGGAGTAGACATTATGACATCTCTTATTGTAAATTTAAGAACTGTACTGAATTCGCATCTAGGTCTCATCATTTTACAGTTGAAATTACTAGATGTAACCATAAGTTCTATGCTAACAGTTGCACTTCTGTCTTGTGGAACTCTCTTCCAGCCTTTTGCTTTTTCATTCAATTTTGGTCTTCATAAACTTCAATGCAATATTAATTATTATTTTTTAAATTCCTTTTCTTTTATTGTTCTCTCTCCATAATAATGTTTTTCTTTTCCTCATATTCTCTCACACTCGGTAAACTCTTTGCATCTTAGTGGGTTTATTGCTTTGCTTGGAGTGAAATAATTATATATATATATATATATATATATATATATATATATATATATATATGATGTAATGCAAAGAGGTAGTGTAGCTAAGGCTGCCATGTGATGTATACAGGGTTTAACTCCATTTAACTACAGAATAATCATTCAGGTTAGAAAGATGTAGTACTCGCTGGTGTAGGCTTCTATTGGGCAATTATAGTAAGATTATGTCAGGAATATTTGAATTCTGAACTGGCATCAGCAGTAGCAGGTATACAAATTCATAAAGTCTAGGTACCATAGAGGAAAGTTCACCAGAGCAATTACCATGAAAGTATTCATAGAAAAGGCTCAGGAAAGCTACGTTACAGTGGTGTGAAAGTGACTGAACATGAGATGCCAGGTCAGGACCAATAATGTTGCAGATTTTACTTTGGATTTTATCAAGAAATTCTAAAATATATAGCAGAAGCACCTGATCAGACATGACAGCAATATTTAAAGCAAGACTTATATAAGATGTAAGATAGATTCTGACAAGAAAAATTGCCTAGCATGACAGCAATTCAACTTTTCGAGCAGCAGACCTAGTGATTGATTCAATATAATCTTTCCCCTTCATGTCAGAAGACAATAAATAAATTCTGTCATACACTCAACTCTTTATTTCATCCACCAGGGTAGATTTTTCTAGTTCCACGTGCCATGCCTCTTGCAGATGTCTCAGTTATTTCCCTTTAACTCAAGTCTCCAAGTTTTTTGGTTCACCACTGCTGTAGCCTGGTATTGAACTCACAAATCTCTGGGTCTAGTCGCTGGATCTAACCAACACTTTTATGCACTGAGCCATGTGTCCTCAAAGGCAACAACCGAAACATTGTAAATATGGCATTGAAGATGAGGATAACAGTCCAAATAATGTAAATAATTATTTTCCGTGTTCTGATAACTTGTGTGCACTTGTTTAAATCACCACCCCAACTCCCGTGTTTAACCAAGTTCCTTAGGAACAACTATACCGACCAAGTCTTTTATTTTCCATCCATAGAACATCTTATATTTCATAAGATTTTAAATTTTTTTTTTTTTTAAATGTTTAGCTTTTACAACAAAATATTCCTAAACCAGTCATAAAACTTAATATCATGTTACTTATTGGGTATTTTCTTTTTACTTTCTCTTCTAGCCTATGAACAGTTTTTAAATTCCCTCATCAATCAAGAAGTTCAGAATTTGCCACGAGGAATCTACCATTCCTCATATCGAAAAACCCATGTTGGTTCATTCAACCAAGAGAAAGCTATCAGTGAAATCCCACCTTTATTACTGACCCAGTATGAAGGCATAAAACAGCCGGGACTTCGACCTGGACTCGCAGGTAATGTCTACAAATTGTATCTCTTCTTTACAGATCCAATTTGATGCTCTTTTTATGTTTTTTGGACTTTAATAACACTCTCTATTGTTTGCCATTTTACTTGAACTCTTATATTTCATTTGTTGGTACCTTTCCTCTGCTTCAGTTACTAATCATAGTTGGTAAGCTTCCATAGATTTTGAAGTAAACCTATTATTCAATCCACCATCATGGACGCTAGATTTCTGACATTCCAGTTTATGATGGAAGAAATCTTGTATTGATTAATTCTTCCTTGTTACACGGCTTGTCTCTTCCACTGAACCAGAGTATGTGAATTTTTTTTGCACTACCAACCTAGAGATTGAACTGTTGACTGACAGATAACTAGATCAGCTTAATGGTAATGGTAATATTAGCAGTTCCCTACAAGAAAACATTTGGCATTCATCAACTGAGCAGCCAGTACTTTTTTCAGTTGAAATTTATAAAATCTTTCTCTTAAAACAATTTTTCAGAAAACCAGGTATCTCAAGTCCAGTAGCTGTTATTGCTCTTTCCAGTATGGATGGGGGTTTCCTTCACAACTTTTTATTTGAAGTGGTGTGGTTTGTCAACATCTTGATTATGTCATTATTTTTCTTCCAGTTACATATGCTATCCATTTTAGCTGTTGCTTCTGTTGGTAATCCTCATGTGATGTGGTTTCAGTTTTTTGTGATTCTGTAGCACTTGTCCACAATGTTCAAAGAAGAATGACCTTTGCCAAGATCCTCAGACTTTACTCGCTCAAGACCTTTTTTCACCATTAATCTTAAGAAGTGGTTAAATACAACTGACAGTTTAGATATTTCTGACCGGATTATGAAAAAAGCTAAAAGGAAAAACATGATGATAAGAAAATTAGGAAAACCTGTAAAGTAAACCTGTGATTAATAATCATAATTTCTCATCTCAAAAATTCTTACTCTTAAGATTAATAGTAACTTATCAAGCTTAACATCTTAAAAGCTGCAAATAGGAATGGACATGATTTTGACCAACTTCAAAATACCATCCTGGGTAAGACGATAAACTTAATCTGCGTCCTGGGTAAGATGATAAACTTACATCTGCATACTGGGTAAGACAATAAACTACATCCAACAGCAAGCCCTCTGATCAGGAGGTTTTGAGGAGCATGGAACCACCTCTTGGTTGCTGATGTTCCCAGGTCCACCCTGACCTGGAGTGGTGGTACCTGTTGGGGTCCCACCTATGGGCAAATAGTTTCCCCCTCCCCCAAAGTGGTGTTTGAATACTAAGAAAGTGTAAATATGGGTTTTTATAATAAAAATGCCAGCAATACAAATTGCAATATATAAAATGCACATTCACAAAAACCAATTCCCCAAAACTGCAAATTCCTCTCAATGGAGCCACTCAGGCACATTTGCATTTGTTCAACACCCACAGAGCCAACCTGTGGTTTATACTGCAACTATGCTGAGTTACAGTTTCTGGGAGAAAGCCTGTTATCTAGAATGATCAACAATCTGAATAACACCAGCACACTCAAACCCTCAATCACGATGACTTGTGACTTTGTGCTAGCACAGCTATAGACGGCCCCAGAGTGTTCTATCTACCCAATTTCATTAACAAGGCTTGAGTCAACCTGTGGTATGGCTTTCAGGCACTTTTCAAAGGTGCCGCACGCTGTGATTGTCCCCACTCCCAACTGATAACATCAGGAAGTCTCCTTCCTGACAAATCAACCATGGTGAGATTCGAACCCAGGTCTCATGGTCAGAAAGTGAATGTTCTAACCACTCAGCCACATACCCATATATATATATATATATATATATATATATATATATATATATATATATATGACAATGAATCATTCATAAAAAGTAAATTAGTAAAGTTAATGATATAAAATGGTGAAATCCCTTCACTAACAAAATTTTAACTTAAGTAATTGGTAGGTTAATTTCGCATCAGTAGACCATGAAAAATACTGTAATTTTGTACAACTGAAAAAAAAAACAGGAGAAATTTGCTGAAGAAGTAGTAAATATTCTAAAATTTTTAGCAAGAAAAGTTCATTGTTCAATACTTGTTGGAAATGTATGAATATGAGGAAAAAAGTTGATGATTTTTTTTTTTCACATATGCTGGAATCATTAACAAGGAGAGTGAAAGATTCAATTTAAATAAACTGACTCTGGATATGTTTAAAGGGTTAATTTTCATTCAAGGGTTAACAGCGAAAAAAGATGCAAAAACACATGCTAGAATTCTAATTAAGTTGGAACAGAATAAAAAACTAACACTCCAAGTAATATTGGACAAATGTCAGGGAATCCTAAATCTGAGACATGATATGGAAGAAATTGAAGAAGAAGAATGCACATACATAGAAGCTAAAGAAAAATGTGGAAAAGAAAAATTAATCCATGTTTCAAATGTGGAAGGTTACATGTCAGAGACAACTGCCTCTGTAAGAATTCAAAGTGTGGAAAAGTAGGGCGTATGAAGTCACACTGTAAAACTAAAGCAAGGAAAATTTCTCACAGGAAAAATTTTGTACACAGCATTGTGACAGAAAAATTAATTTCAGAAAACCAAAGTGTAGTATTATATGCAAATTAGATAGACAAGTATAACTAGAGAACAACTGGTGAACATAGGGTGGCTATGCCTAACAAACCCGATTGCTATTCAGGACACAGAGAACTGTACTACAACTACTACTATGTAGAGATATATGCAAAACATAACACAGAAAAAATTTGTGTATGTGAAAATTAATCATGTGGATGTAAAAATGGTAGTGATATCACAATAATCAACAAAACGACATGGAAAACAAACCTAAATTAAAAAGAACTTTGAAAATCATACATGGTATGTTGGGTAAGAAATTATTTTTATTGGTAAAATGACTTGTAACATTTCATTTCATAACAACTGTGTAAAAGCTAAGGCTTATATCTTAAAAATACTACAAACTTATTCGGTACTGACTGGATGGAATTATTCGAGTTGTGAGATTTACCTATAAATATTTATTGCTAAAAATTTAATTGGTCAAGATACCAGTTTTAAAAAAACTGTCAAAATTTAAAGGAAGAATTGAAAAAATGTTTTCCAGATGTTCTGTCAGATGAGTTGGGTCAATGTTCCAAAGTCAAAGCAAAATTTCAAGTGAAAAAAGGGTCATTGTCAGTGTTTAAACTGAAACATCATGTACAATTTGCAGTATTGGATCAAGTCAACAAAGAATTAAAAAGATTGAAAAATAGGTGTAATTGAAAAGATTGACCATTCATATTGGACAGCGCCAGCAGTGTATGTAAAGAAAAAAAAATAATAAAATACATGTTTGTGCTGATTTTTTGACAGGGTTAAACAAATGTTCAGAACCCATTACCTAGTCCAGAGGAAATTTTTTTGTGAATTTAAATGGTGGAAATTTTTTTCGAAGCTGGATCTTTGTGAAGCATATTTGCAGATACAGGTTGAAGAAGAATGTTCAGAGTTAATAACTTGCCATAATGGAATGTCCCACACTCCCTATAGCCTATGTAGACTGATTATATCAGTAGCTATATATAGTGAGCACAGGATATACCAAGGTGTTTTCTTCGGGAATTACTAGCCTGCCACCTGTCTTTCACTAATGTATTCTCTTTTACAATAAACCTCTCTTCTTTCATCTATGTGCATGTTGCTGTTCCTTCACTTGAGTACCACCTTGTCTGTTTGTAACCTCTTTAAGGATACAACATAACTATAAATACACACAAAGGATTGTATAAGTTCAACTGACTTCCTTTTGGGATAAAAGTGGCTCCAGCTATATTTCGACAAGCTATGGCTACTATGCTTGCAGATTGTAATTTTTCAATTCCTTATCTGGATGATATATTAATTAAAAGCATATCTAAGGAACAATATATCGAGCATGTGAAAAGTTTTTGAAAAACATACGGGTTTGAACTCAGTGAGGAAAAGTGCGAATTGTTTTTGCCTAAATTCAAGTACCTAGGACAAATCATTGACAAAAATGGTCATCAACAACATCCGGCAAGTGCAATTAAGAATATGCCTCCTCCAACAAACATTATTAGGTTACAAGCATTTCTAGGACTAGTAAACTATTATTAAGTCTATATACTTAATATATTCAGAATTTGAGAGTTCCACTGAAGAAATTGCTTAAAAAAGGCATAAAGTGGAACTGGAGTGATAATGTAATGAAAAATTGAGCAAAGAAGCACTATAAAAATTCTTGAGAGTATACTGGATAACGCTGAATCCCAATAATTGGCAGAATTGATGTTAGCAAGAAAAATTAAAACTGTCTTCAACAAGTTGTTACCAGGTCAAAAAAAGAACAAGAATAAATAACAAAAATTGTTGAAAAAGAGTATTTCAGAGTATATAAAAATGGAAAAGTAATGTGGGAAGACAGCATAATGAAGTCACTAATAGGAAAAATTATATGTATGGTGAAAGGAAAAAAATGGGAACACAAAAGGCATTGGAATCAATTAAAGAAAAAGTTTATGGAAGAAAGGCTCACAAGAAAGGAAGAACCTATGAAAGTAATTTATATTTTTAACATACCAACACCCCAAGATTTGGTGACTGTACAAGTATGATTACCAGAAAAAAAGAAACATGAAAAAACTAGAGGTTGACCCAAAACGAAAGAAATACAAGTTCAGTATGTGGTGAACTCTCCAGAAAGTGAATACTAAGAAATAAAATAAAATATTTACTAGTGAAAAAAAAAACGGAGTGTGGAGTAAATAACACAAATGAACTAGTCATGATGCCTTAAATAAAGAACTCAAAGTGAGTCAGGAGAAATTCATTGAAGTTTGTGCAGGAGAATTTCTAGTGACATCATGGTGAATAGCTTAAGTGAGACATAATAATTGCTAGGAGCAAGTTAAAACACTATGAAAATATAAAAATACATTTTTATAGCAAAAATACCAACAATACATTTTTATATAGTAAAATGACCACTTAGAAGAAGTGGCAGAACTTATGGAACTCCTACGCAGACAATAAACTGTCAAAATTAAACCAACTATAAGAGAATTGCATCAGAAACGCCAAACTACAAGAGAAGTGATTATGTCCAGGTTCCATATTGGATTTACTACCATAACCCATTTGTATATCCTAAAAAAGGAAGATCCGTTATATGTGGCATGCCAAGAGCCATTCATCATAACTGACATACTGACAAACTATGAGAATTTTAATTTAATCTGTTTAAAATACTACCAAACAAGAAAATTAAAAGAACCCTTTTCAAAATACTGATTCATTTTACAGATTCCAGTTCCTAAGAGAAATTAAAGTGATTTCAAAAATAAAATTAAAAGGAGAAAATATAACTATGACTAACAGAAATCTTACAATGGAAAATAAAATCATTTTTGATTGTTTAAGTACAAGATTTTATTTAGAAAAATATTAAATTTTGGCATTGAATGATCCAATGAGCTGATATGTCGTAAAACAAACCAAACTAAAGCCTACTGGTTGCCCCATAATTATTGCTTTATGTCAAAATTCAGCTCTATTTAGTAAATAACAACACTTCTCTTGCCAAAGAGATGAAGACAAGATCTGGGTAAGACAAATTCCAAAAGTAAGGAATACAAATTTAAGTTTTGTCAAAAAGTTTGTGTAGATTTTTAAGCTTCATGCTGATTCCATGTTCTCATTAAAGTGTTTAACAAGACACGGTTGGGATAAAAAGCAACATAAATAAAATTGGTTGTATAAGTAAGTTAAAATGCTTCATTTAAAACATTCCAAATATTTAGATTGTGTGGACCTCATTCCAGGGCCGACTTTTATGTTTCACAAAAAGCAAAATAACTTTTCCATTTTTGTTGGTTGTATTTCTCATGAATATTTACAAATTAGGCCAAGACTGGGGTGGGGGACCCTGTTGAATATCAAAATCTTAAACTTGTCCCTTGCAGATTTGATTGATTGGAACCAGTTATCATTTTTACCATTTTACGTGAACTTTTTCTCTCACACATGACAAGAGTTTTCATTTTGTTTTTGTTTTCCTTCTAAATATGAATATTTCTCTTCCAAGGCGTGTGATTTCAATTTAGGAAACGTAAAGCACTAATTGACTTCAAAGAAAGAAAAACGTTGATAGAAAAGTTCATTGTTTTCTGCTGGTGTGATTTCAAGTTTATCTTTGAAATGTCAAGTGAGACAGGCAGAACAGTGGTAATAAATTACCTATTTCATTCAAACTGTACAGGCTTTTGAATCACGCCTTGTGTGTATGCATGTGTGTATTTAAATTAGATGTATTTGGGCATCAGTACATATATGTGTGCATGTGTGTAGTTTAGGTTCAATTCCTGCTGAGAGATACATTCATTTTAAGATTTTTTTTGATGATCTAGGCCAGTAGGGATTAATTTCACTGCAATTTAATGAAGGCAAGAAAAAAACAAATAATAAAGATGAAGAAATTAATCTCTATCCAACACAGCCAATGAGTAAAAGAACTTCATATAATAAAATTCAAACTTGTATTTGATTGAGCTTTTCCCTATTCAATTCAATCCGTTTATACAGACTTTGCAAATTCTTTAACATTCCATTATAAATTGATGTTTGTTTTTGTCTTAATTGTAAATTATGTTTCTGATGATAATAATTGCATGCTTTTAAATGAATCTCTTAATATTTCAGCTGGTTTGTTATTTGCCTATAATCCTTTCGTGAATCCTGGTAAAGGTGGACAGCCAAGACCTCACCATATTGTTACTCATGGCAAAAATTATCAACAAATGTTCAGTACGCTTCTTCATGAGGTACAAATCTTTTCGTAATCTCTTCTTCAAAATTAACTTTTACAAGTATTGATTATATTATTAATTAACCATATCTGAAGTTATAAAACCCTTTAATTTTTATTGTTGAAGAGTTTGTGGTGTAAAATTCAGGCTTTTATCTACAATCAGAAATGATTCCAATTTTTTAAAATTATGTCTTATTGTTAACAATGTCTTTCTATAAATATTTTCCTAACATGTTAAAACCTGAGGAAAAATTGGGAATTATTTGAATTCATTTAAAACAAAATGATAGAAATAATATCAAATATTTTAAAATCAATTTTCCATTTAGCTGTTTTTTCTTTTTGTTTTTTGGGTTTTTTTTTAATCATTGTTCTCATAAAACAAATATGGCACAGTGGAGTAATGGATAGCAGTTCGGACTGAGGAATTGGAGAGCCGAGTTCAAATTCCATTCGAATCCATTACATTCACTTATGTGCTAATACCCTTGGGAAAAGTGTGAATCCTCATCTTCTCCCTCCAGCTATGGGTAAATAGCAGGACAGACTGGGTTCTATAGCCTTGGATGGCAACTGGTCTACTGCAGAAACTAATGGCAACCTACTGCAGGAAAAAAAAATCTGCCTTGTCAGTCATGTATTAAACGATACATGATCGCCTAAGTGTGTATCATGCATGGCACATAACTGATGTTTTGTTTATATATTTGCTCCATTTCTTAGTCATTGTTTTCTTTTGAATCAGGTTCCAGTCCAACCTTCAGAATGGCATCGATGTGTTCTCATGCCACAGGCCTGGGTCTCCTTCATAGATCGGTTATTCACTGCAATGATCGAGGTGAGTGATCCTTTGTTTCCAATTCATTCATCTTTCAATAACAGCTTTCAAGGCATGAAGTTTTTAATCACATTTCCATCAGTCTTTGTGCCACTGAAATTTATTTTAACCTCCAACCCACGTGTGCTGGTGTCTCTTAACAAAAATCTAGCAAATAAGAAGTAAAACAAATGTTTAGTTTCCATACCTGTTATGGAGTGGTTTCACAGTGGAGGCTTGTATTTGTACTAAGTTGGTCCTAAAATAGGTTTGACGTACAAAATGTTAGGAACTTGATATAATAGGTAATGACGGAGAGAAATCTTGTTGTGGTCGCTGATACTTTAGTATCTGACTAACAGTTGTCCAGCATCGACTGACTGACCAACCCACTGAGCCCTCTCATTACTCTTACTACTCCTACTTATTATAAGTGGGAGAGTTTATTAACTATAGAATAGATGTGTTCCACTATAACATCTCCCTCTAAAACTTTACTCCGTAGGAGTAAACAGTTTTCTTTATTTATTTTTCATTTTTTACAGGAAATATGAAGAAAAAACAACAAAAAAAAAATTTTTTTTTTTTTTTTAAGCAACATTGTAGCGTATCTCCTACGTTTTTTTGATCCACTTTTAAATGATCAGTTGCCTTTCTTTTTTTCTCCTGGATCGGCGTACCTCAGGTAAAATTGTTGCAGGCGTTGTTAGATCAAACGTATTGAAAATCACCTCCATCAGCGTTTCTTCCGCGGGACTGCTGTCACCCACGTCTGAAAAACGTTGTCTGATCTGATTACTGCATGTGAATTTTTCGCCTTTCACCAAGTACATCATATTGCCAATCCTCTTTTCTATTTTTTGGTACCTCCATTGTATTACCAGAAACAACCTTCCGCTTTGAGCTTCTTAAGGATGGAGTCACAGTTTCTGTAGGTTCTTCTTGTGGTTCTATTTGTTCAGCCTCTAGCTTTACTTCTGTTGATCTTGTGCTTCTTAACGTTTTCTGTAGTGACTTCAGTTGACTTAAATCATTTAATAATACTGCATGTCCTTGGCTGCAGGTAACTCACTCCCCAGTTTTTTTCGGTGTTGGCTTCATCTTTACTTTCTGGAGCTTGTTTTTCACGTATATCGTTGGTGTTACCCATTCAACTTTTTGAAATACACCAGTTTTCTCTAATCTGTCCAATTCTTTATCTGTTCAATTGAAGCAAACAACACATTCCTTTTCTTTTTGAATACTGCCTGAGCGTTTTCTTTTAGCTGGAATTTTGCCTCCATCTTGGTACACGTTCCCAAACCTGGAAAAAAAACAGTAGGAAATATTCCCTTAAGTTTCTTTACTAATTTTTGGGCTTCTGAGATTAAACTTTCAACCTTGTAACAGAAAGAATTTATCGGTAGATCCCATAATTGAAATTCTGTTATCCAATTTGTACCAAGTAAGTTCATGGTATTTTCTATGACAAATAGTTTAGCTTTTCGCGTTTTTTTATTTAACGTGATGTTTGTAACAAATTCTCCAATAAATTGTATTTTTTCTCCTGTCACTGACCTCGCGATTTTATTTGTCTTCATTAAAGTTGGTTTCCCCAACTTCTTCCACGTATGCAAATTTATGATAAATAGGCCGGAACCAGTGTCGAATTGCATTTTTATTTTTTTATTACTTATTTCGACGGTAACAAATTTTCTGGTTATTCCATCGTTCACCTCGTCGGACTTTAATTTTCTTATTTTATTGTCTTATTTTTTTGACCTGCAGTGCAAGCTTTTATGACCCACTCTTTTTACAGTTGAAACATTTTTTTATTCTTAAAATTGCAATATCTGTACCAGTGTAGTTCACATAAGCAAAGCAAAACATGACTTCGGGAGTTTTTTGTTTATTTTTCTCTGGTATTTCACTTTTTGTTTGATAATCCGCAATTTTAGAATTCTTTTTTGGTAGATTGACTTTTCTTTTTTGTAGCGTATTTTCCTTACATGCGAAACGCCAGACTGTTCTATCTTTTTCGAATCTTTCTTTACGCTAACATGTCTTGTGCAGTCTTCTGCCAACTTCTGTATCGAAATCCTTGGTTTGTTTTCTAATTTTGACAGCACTAATTTTCTCAACTCTGCGTCTCTTTCCAATACCAGCACTTGAACAAACACTAAGCACTTAAAATTGTCAGCACTTAACTCTGCTAGCTTGAATTCTTCACAATGCTTATTCACATTGGCTGCGTACATTATATAGTCTTGTTCGTCATCTTTCATCAGATTCAAACATTTCCACCTCTTGTAAAACAAAGATGTCTTTTTACTAAATAATTCACTTAATATATTTACTGCCTCGGTAAAATGTAGTTTACCAATTTGTTATACTCAGCAGTTCCTAACTTGCTTAAAAGAAGCCTAACCTTCTTTCCTTCAAACCACGAGTGGCAGTCCTCGTTATACACATCCGTATATTTTTTATAATACTCCTCAAAAGCTATCTCTTCATCTGGACTGTATGTGAATATTTCAATTGAATTCCGTATTGTATTCTCTGGGAAAGAATCATTTTGTAGATTTTTCTCTTTCCTCTTCTCAGTTATTTCCAGAATTTTGTTTTGAAACTCTTTATGCATCTGTTCCATTTCTGAGGATAAGGAGGATAGATGATGATTTTCTCTTTTTTAATGTAAATGTCATTTGATATTTTAAAAAGTGTTACTTTTGGGATTTTCCTGAAAACAGTAGATTCTATATTTATGCTTGTTCAAACCATGGCAATAAATGTCTCTTAAAGAAAAGAAAAAAGATTATTTCTATATGTGACTTATTTGAATGTACACTGCCATATTATTATCAGTTACGAACTAATTAATCTTTTTCTTTTTTATGAACCAATTAATCTTTTTCTCAGTCAGGGTTTGCAACGTTCGACATCCATTTTAATTGTTGATATTCATTTGCACACTTTCCTCCCATTCAACTTAAAATAAAAACTCCAGAATTTCTTTTATATATAATGGATGACTGATAATTTACAAATACACAGGCACACACATTAGTGTTTCTTCAACAATCACAGAGCCAACCTGTGGTTTATACTGCAACTATGCTTAGTCGATCTGAGTTGCATTTTCTGCAAGAGAGTACATAATCTGGCATGTTCAGTAGTTGAACAAGGTCAGTACTCTCACATTCTTAGTCACGATGGCTTATGAATTCATGCTAGCACAGCCATCAGTGTCTTCCAAACAGGTTCATTGACACAATTTCACTCATAATTCTTTGCTCAAACACTGTTATGGTTTTCAGGCACACATCCTAATGTGAGATTCAAACTCTGGTCATATGATCAGAGCTGTTCTATATATATATATATATATATATATATATATATATTATAGTGAAGAAAACGGTGACTTACCTCGTCAAACCAAGCGACAGCACGTCACGTGTACCCTACGATGGAAAATGTGGTAAAAAAAGAAAATTACTTACCAAAAAAAAAGGGCACATATTCCGCATGACATGCTGAAGACAGAATATTTAAATTAAAAAAAAAAGTCTGTCGCAGGAGTTGCTATAAAAGTATTTTGATATGCAAAAATTGAGCATCCTCTCCCAACTGTCGACGAATGGAAAAAAATGCTCGGCCAATAAAAGAAGCTGGTGTTCTCGAATCGGGCAAAATTCAGGTATTTTGGCTACTGCGTTTGTCAGAGAGTGAGTTATTTTTCTGACTGGTTGTGTGCATTGTGATTTGTAAGATAGTACCTGCGAATCGAGTTTTTGGCATTTCTTTCTGCCTTCGATGTTCAAGTCTGAACTTAGTGATTTATTCTCTGTGTTGTGAAAGTAATCTGCAACAAATATTTCCTTTGCAATCCCAGATCGCTTATATATATATATATATATATATATATATATATATATATATATAATTTTCCTGCTGCCATAACATAGCTTCCCTGTATCTTTTCTATAAATATTTTAATGGTAATTGTTCTGATGAGGTTTCTTCTTTGGTTCCTCAACTTTGTGAATTTAAACACAGTATTAGAGTGGCAGTTAGGTCTCATCATTTTACAGTTGAAATGACTGGATGTAACTGTAAGTTCTATGCTAGCAGTTTCTTCTCTCACACTTCTTGCTTGTGGAACTCTCTTTCAACTTCTTGCTTTCCAGTCAACTTTGATCTTCAAAACATGAAATGCCATATCAATCGTTATCTTCTGTCTTCTTAATTCATCTTCTTTTATTGTTCTCTCACCTTAATAATGTCTTCCTTTTTATCATATTCTTTCACACTTAGCAACCCCCTTGCATCTGAGTGGCTTTATTGCCTTGCTTGAAGTAAAATGATTAAAAAAAATATGCATATAAAATTTCAATAATCCTACAGCCATAAGATGAAAAATGTATTTATCTTGCACAACAAAAATTTATTAAATGTTTCAATCTCCTTCCTTGTCTGCACATAATTCAGTGGTCAGTATTATTCACATAGACCAGTGAAAATTTCAGATCAAAATTTAGCTAGGAACTGTATTTATAGGCTATTCATTTATTGATCCAACTTCATATAATTATTACTATAAATTGAGCAAATTGTTTGCTCGTGTCTTATAGCCAGCCAAATGGATGGATTTTGGGGGCTGTAAATCTTTAAATAAAAGTAATTTGAGGATGATCATGGGAGAGGTGGTTCTGACCTCCAAGAAGTGGCCACGGGACAGTCAAAGCTGCTATTTCTTCCCAAATAACAAAAGGTTTTTATGTAATGCCACATAAACCAAAAGGACCCTACTTGTAGGGTGTCTATGTAAACATTTTATTAAAGAAAAGATATCAGCAGAGCTTTCAAAATGGAATCGGTGAGACAAGTTCAAACACTGAGATAATCTATGTTCCCATTTCATTAACAACTAGCAGTAGAGCCCGGTGTTGCCCGGGGATGTAACAGTAAGAGATAGATCAAGTATCGACCATCATAAAGACTGAAAAATAAAATTGACAAAGATTATTGTTTAAGGTTGACGCACATGCATGTCTTAATAAGTTTTTTTTTTTTTTTTTTTTTTTACGAATTGTTCAAACCCAAATTCAAACAAAAACATTGTTTACAATCGTTATGAGTCTATCGATTGGTGAATAGAATTTTATTATAAACAATTGTCTTGTAAATGGAATTTTTAAAGCATT